TGAGTATCATGAATATCAGTTTAATAGAACAAAGTATTTGTGCACTGAGGGAGTACTTGAGTGGAGGCCCAATGCCCATCTGCTACCTTAATACTAAACCTATACATATATGCATATAGATCTATTTCCCCATCTTCATATATAAATATATTCACATATGTACATGCCTGTATTTAGACCTCTGTAAATTCCCCTTGCCTTCTAGCTCAAATATTCTACAGACTCATATTTGAACTGTGAAGCATCCACCTCTGTCTCCTTAGTGCCCTCTCATCTCTGTACACACAATTACAGTAGCGCATAGTCTCTCCAGGCTTCTCTTCACCATTTCAGTGTGTTAGTTCCTCGGATCTGGGGTTCCCCCTGTCAGTTATGTTTTCTCCAGGATTGAGTTCAGTGAGGGAGTCAGTACTCTGTATTGTCAAGCTATCCTCCTTTTGCAGAATATAGAAAGTGTCTCTTCTGGTAGATATTACTTTTAAAATTGTTTTATTGGCCTATAATTCACATATCATACCCTCCCATAGTTCAATGGTATTAAAAACAGTTCTATACTCATCACTACAATCAACTGTAGAACATTTTCTCCTTCTTGTATTTATTACTAGTTCCCCATTTCCCTCCAGCCTCTCCTCCCACACCCCCTACAATGCCTATGCATTTCCCTATCCCAGATTCCATATACTGGGAAACATGCAAAAAAGAAAGCCCAACAACAATAACAAAGTAAACCAGAGGAAAAAAACCCCTTCAATTGAATAAAAATCAGGAACTATTACAACTAGAACACATTTCAGAGGAGCTGGAAGGGAGTTCTGTTAGATAGTCTTCAGAGAGCTGTCTCGGGGTTATGGGGTGAAAGCGGTCACTTGAGAAGTGTTTCTCGCTTCTTCACAGGGAGAGGGGCTTCTAAAAATGCGTACTCTTATCTATTTATTTATTTATTCATTCTGTGTTTTCTCTTTTCAACTAGCACTCTGGCTGATGCTGCCATGGGGAATAAAGTCTTGCACGTTCCCTACAGAGATTCTGTCCTGACCAAACTGCTCCAGTCGTCTCTGGGTGGCAACAGCAGGACTACGCTGGTAAAATTCTTTCCTTATAATATTTTGGACTGGCTTGGCGACTATTGTTACTGTTTTTATATTTGATCTTAGCCAGAAGGCCGAGAAGCGATGATTACTATTCTTCTCAGTAAGCAGCCAGGTTCACATTGCAAACCTCTTGCACCGCACAGTCTTACATATTATTTCATGGCTCCTGGTGGTCTGCCCACTACACTGTTCCAGGGAAGTCTCCATGTCAATTTGTATTTTTAAAAGTATTCTATTCTTTCAGTTTCAGATTCTCTACAAGAAAGCATGCAT